TTGTAGTGGAAATACTAACTCAGTCATTTCACAAGGATGAGATCAACCATCAATGTCAATCAAAAGGCCCTCATTTCAGTCTGACCATTACAGACATTGGATAGGCTGCTTGCATGACCACTGTACCCTCAGTTGCTTATGTCTGAGGGTGTTTATGTATTGTTCACAGCTCTCACTAATTGCCACCTGTAGTTTCAAACCCAACTTATTCTATAGTTATTGACATGAGTCACTTATCACTATGTGTAAGCTCTCACTCAGACCTTCAAGCCCCTATAACCAGCCAGATGTATAAGATTGGCTACGAGGTAGCACTACGTAGGGTTACAGTTGAGGCAAGTGAAGGTACAACAGTAAGAAGTGTAAAATATTAGTAATATGAGCAAGTCCTTTCATATAGCTACTATAATATCAAATAGTCGGTATTAGGAATGGCGCTATTGTGCTTCTTTGTAGTATGTATAGAAGGAAAACTCTAACAAGAAAACAATCTATGCAACTACTCAAAGTATGAGATTGTGAGCGTGAGTCGGGCTTGTCAAAGGTTATGCCTCGATTAGATCTGTTAGAAGCTGATCTGATATAGCAAAGTTGAATAGAGCTTGCAACAATTGAGAATGCAAGTCAGGTTCAAACTTTGCAAAGTAAATGGAAAATTGACACAGATACAAATAATCTGTTAAGTCCCAAACTGGACTGGTAATTGGATGACCCAAATTAGGCAAGCAACAACAAACAATGACCTAAACTGGTCTAGAGGCAAACTTCTTGAACTCTCAAACTGGACTCAGGCAAACTGAGTGTTCCAAACTGAACAATCGAAGCAAATTCTAAGATCTGGTAAATCAGGGTTGATTCCACTGGACAAATACCAGGGAAGTCTAAGCTAGAGATTTCCTGCAATTTGGGGGCAGTACTGAATACAAAGGCTCATATAGGGTTTATATACTTGAGATGAAATGAAATAATAAACATATCATTTGGAAATGAGTTTTAATGTCCAATAACTACTTGTCACCAAATTGGGGTGAAGAACTCCTTAATCTGGGCAAGTTTCATTGCAAATATACAAAATTGAGTGGGGTGCTAGTCTAATTAGATTGCTGGATTATAGTTTCACACACAAACTATTATTGGGAGTATTTTTGCATCCTGACTTATTCTCTTCATGCAGTCTGAGTGAGTCAATAGTACTGCAGCCAAGCCTCTGTTAAAGTAATAGCCAGAGTATGAAATAGAGTTGATGGTGTTCTAGAGCTTCCTGGAATGTCAATCACTCTCTGATCACTTTTCGATCACTCCATATTTTCTATCTGCCTCTGTCTATGGTCTGCAGACAGTTCTGTAGTGTTCTATCCCCTTAGATATGGGCTCAATTGTCTAATAGTATTCTGGTAAGATTGTAGGACAAGCTTTGATTAGTTCTGTGTTCTTACTAAGATGTTTTTCTAAGTTGCTCTAAGTTCATGAAGTTATGGTTCTAGGGTTCTGTTCTATTTCTGCTTATTCAATCTGTTGTCTCGTTCCATGAAGGAAGTAATAAAGGTCCCTTGGTTGCTCAGAGTGAGTAGAGAGGCCTAATAGTTCGAAGGTTTGGAAATTGCTGACTTCATGCAGTCCTACATGTTTCAGATTGCTCTGTGTAAAGTACTCCCTCTGTTCATTGACTTCTCAGACTTGCATCCCTGGCTTTGACTAGCAGTGCAGGCTCACTCTAGTCCTAATATTATCCCTTTATACTAAATCTTAGTAGGTATATTACTTCTATAAAGATGCAAAATAGTGGTCTTTATCAGGTTTGTAAAACATGCACAACAGCGCCTTACACTCTCCCCCACAAGATTGATGCCTAAGTCAATTGTGAAGTCTAGTGTTACATCGTGTTATATCCAGGTAATGTGCCCTTGCTAGAACCATCCACTCATACTAACGTCGTGATGAGACATGGAAGCCTGGGTGACACTCACACCACTGGAGCTTGAACCTTGAGTTGCTAGTACAGACAGTTCATTTCCAGCAGCCAGTTCTCCAGCAATGGCAGTATGAGTTGGGTTAGAACTCAAAGCCATGTTGGTAGTACCCATATTAGACAAAGGTGAGTCCTGTACCATAGGAACAGGTTCCAATTCACGGGTATCAGAGACATGTTGAGTAGGAACCTTGAAACTATCAGAGGAGAAAATAGTTTTCTTCTCTTTCCAGTGGGATAGAATGTATGAGCGCTGCCGGTATTCCAAAACCTCTTATATAGTCTCCTCAAGATTGAGACACAAGTTATATACAGGTGTGAACAATGCTTTACTGCTGCTTGGAATGAGAATCTGAAAGGGGTTTCTTAATCAGAGAGTCCAACAAGGAACCATCCTGATCATATCTGAATCTCCCATGTCCAACTACTCACACCAATGATTGCATTCATGTTGTTTAGGAAAATATTCAAAGGCTTCATTAACAGTCCCCTCACTGAACAATGACTGACTATCTTCATCAACAAGATCTCTGGTTGTGGAGGGTTGCTGAGTACTTGAGAAAAAATTGAAGCACTCACAGTGAGTTCATGACTTGTAGATCAGTGAGCAAATTGTGGTACCCCTGAAAGTCTGAGACATAGGCCATGTGATGCATTTTCTCAGATTGAAGATGCTGTAGTCCAGATAGAAATTCAGCTTTTGGATAGTTGGCATCTGTTGCACAAAGATTATTGCTGGGATTGGCACTGCTATTGTGAATATATTATCCCTTTCCATTAGAATCAATTTTTCTTTAAGAAATGCATGGTCCACAGGAGTACCATCAAGACAGAGTCAGCTATCTGGTTTTGATGAGTCATTATAAAAACTGCAGCCTGAACAAAGCATAGGTGTGGGCTTTCTGCAGGTGGCTTAGGCCATTCTGGTTCCAAATGGTTTATCATCATGAAGTGTTGGAAGTAAGTAGTTAAACATACCTGGATCATTCATTAGCACTTCAATATACTCATAACAGAACTGGAGCAGCATTGTTGCCCAGTAATGAGTATTTGCTTCCACTAAAATCCTCCTGAGTTTACCCAACCCAGAGAACCAGCTATGAACTTTTGGAACCTTTGTGCTGCTATAGATATCAATGGTAAGCACAAGATATCAGGTTGACAGCAATAACCAAAGTGCTTACTTGTCTTTATCACCAACAACACCACCACCACCCTTGACCTTCATGAGGTAAATCTGTTTCAAACACACTTGACCCTGAAGCAGCCATTCAAGGTCAGGGTTGCCTGGCAAATAACACAATATAGTAACACTTAGATTTAGATCAGTTTGAAAAAACTTGTACCCTGATTAATAAGACTGGTGAGGAACTGTGTCCCACTATTAGGGCACACCCAATCTCCCCTTCCGCAAGGTGACTCATGCAAATGTAAGATCAACTCAGCCTAGAAAAATGGTTAATATATGACTTCAGTTTATTTATATAAAAAAACAGGAAACCTCAAAGAATTTCCTGTTGTGGTTCGGGCCCAGCTTTGTGTCACTTCTACCATGGCAATTATTGACTTACTACTACTCTGATTATACAAAGCTACTTTGCATAAGTAAAGTGAATTGAAGGCCAAGAACTGGGAAGGTCCTGAACAGAAGAACATTACAAGGTAGATGAATGCACACTTTGGAGCTTATGTAGCCACGGCCAGCCTTTGGATATGTAGTTAGGATCATTTTTTATTGTGTTTCTGTGTAGAATACTCCCTACTGAACACTTGCTCAGCAAGTGCTTGCATTGCTGAAATAGAACAGCCCTGCCATTCAATAGGCTCCCAAACAGCTCAAAACCCAGCACTATCTGAGGGTGACGGCACGACCAAGTTAACCGGAGGATAACGTGAACACCCCGGTTTCCGGGGTCCCATCAATTCGGAGGTACCATATCAGGCTTTACACCGCGGCTATCAGCGCTAAAAAGCGTGTCAGTCCCGGCCTTCCACAATTATCTACGTCAGGGTATCATTTATTCATAATCTCGCCACTTTATCTGACCCCCCATCGGGAGGTATGAGTAGCTCTCCGCCACCATCTCATTGTTAACGTTCCTGCACGTCTTCGACTATTTATTACGGACCAGTGATTTCTCTCGCAGTTAGGTTCCGACGAGTCGCCTTCTTATGCATTCACAGCCCAGGTTCGGTTGCTATACCCCCTTACATGATGCTTTCACGCATACCATACGGTAATATTTTATTTATGGGTTTTTGTTGTCGTCTTTGTTTTTGCAGGGTTCACCTATTTGCTATTTATCTTCCATCTCCTTGTTTAAATAGCAGTACGTATTTTGGCGAATCCTACCTCTGTTTTTCTACACTGGACGTTCGAGCTTTGAGGCCCAGCGCAGTTTACCTAAGTCTCGACTTTCTCTTTCACTTTTCCTCCCTCCCATTCTTGTGTGGCGGGACCGAGTTATGTAAACACGTGTTATAAAATGCAAAGAAAGAGCACGTAAAGGCACGTAACCAAGCACTAGATTGAGATGGGTAATCGGATAATCCATTCCCGAGTCTTCCCCCGTCACTTCCTCAACCTCTGATGAGGATGGGGGAAGTGGAGAGTAATGAAAAGACACACAGAGAACAATAATTCCTGTCCATCCATCTATTGTCGTCATGAGCACCGCTCCGCTCGTTCGCACAACCTGTAGCGCCACCGGTATAGGTAGGAGGTAGGACAGCAACAGAGTCGGTAAGATTATTCAACAGAAAATCGAACCGTAGGATAGTGCGCTCGAACATGCAAACCGTAACGCATTGTAAGGGAGGACCGTGGTACGAAGAGTCAGCAAATAGCTGGGTCCCTGCGAGACGGTGTTTTAAACAAAGGAGTAATTTATGGCGGGCAGATTCACGTTCTGGAGATTATGCGGATGTGATGCTGATTTTGCAACCAGAAACGGCCAAGGGATGGTACGACATCGCAACTCAGACCTGAAAAAAAAGTCAAAAAGAACCCTTGATAGATGGATGGAAGGAGTAATTCGACCGAGGCTCGAACTGGGGACCTTCCGTGAAACTGACAGTCTCTGGTGTTAGGCAGATGGGATGACCAACTACGCCATCGAACAACCACCCACCTGCAACTCAAAATCCTTAATCACTGTATCCCGTCGTTCATGAATTGATCCATGAATCGGGAAACGCCCTAGACCTGGATAGTTGAAATGTGTAGGTGCAGACATCAATCGAATGCCTATATGATCGTCTACTTGCACACTACGTGTGTAGACACATTGCAATACATGCTATATTTTCCTCGCCCCGGCTTCTGTTCTCCCGGAATATATATATTACGAATCGTGCTTCCAGTGCCTGTCCATCTTCTTCTCTCTTTGTGTTGAGGACTCGGAATCCTACCCGAGATATGTGTCATACATTCTTGAGTAAAAAGAACTACGTATTCGAGCAACACGCACCACTTTCTTGTTGGGCGCCCGTGGTAGATACCCCGAAGTTGCCGATGTCCTGTCGCCCAGGTTACTACTTTAGGCCTCAGCGGACATTTTTTTCCTCCATATTATTGCGCCTGTTCGGCACAGGGAACACGGGTATGAAATTTGTCTTCCAAATCTAGGGAACGGCTCGTGAAGCGTGTCCATCATTCAAGACAATTACTCAGTCAAGTTTACTCAACACTCTCGGTTAACTTCCTGTTCATTGATTCTGCAAGAGTACGTCACCCGTTCCTCAACTTCGGAAGCAAGCCTTTTCTGCTCACAGCGCTTTAGGGCTGGAATCCTATAAAAGCCTCGATGCAACGGTCATAGAACTTCATTCTGCTAACCAGTTCTTCCTTCTTAAACTCGACGATCTTGACCCTCATTCAAGTAACGTTCTACAACCATGGCTCTCTGGACTCCCGCTCCCGAACCCCCCACTAAGCTAGGGTACCTTAGAACCCTGTCAACTCGCGCCGGTATCAGTGTCTCCCCTTTATGCTTGGGAGCCATGAGCATTGGTGATCAATGGAGCAAGTTCATGGGATCTATGGACAAGGAGTCAAGTTTCAAGCTGCTCGATACTTACTTTGATATGGGCGGAAACTTTATCGATACCGCTAACAACTAGTACGTCGCCTTATCACTCACTCGACTTTTTGCAATTGTTCATCGTTTGCACCCCTCTCCATCCTAGCCAAGACGAAACGTCTGAAAAGTTCATCGGTGAATGGGCTGAGAAGCGCGGTATACGTGACCAGTTGGTTATTGCGACCAAGGTGATTTCCTCTTCTCGTGCCTCTTCTCTTCATGACTGATACATATGTACTTCTTAGTATACCGCCAACTGGAAGCGCGGTGCCACCGATATCAAGCAGAAAGCGAGTTATGTCGGTAACAGCGCCAAGTCGTTACAAGTTAGCGTGGAAGCGAGCTTGAAGAAATTGCGCACGTCGTACATCGATATTCTGTACGTTCACTGGTGGGATTGGAACACGTCTGTGGAGGAAGTGATGGATGCCCTTCATCACCTAGTCGCGCAAGGCAAAGTACTTTATCTGGTGAGCTTTCCCTTTGAGCTTCTATTACGATATCGAGTTACTCATAACTTTCGTCAGGGAATTTCCGATAGTCCGGCGTGGGTCGTTGCTCAAGCCAACACCTATGCTCGGTGCATGGGAAAGACACCTTTTGTTGTTTATCAGGGTCTGTGGAGTATTAAAGATCGCGATTTTGAACGTGACATTATTCCGATGGCTCGATCATTTGGTGAGTCTCGCGGTGCTGACTTCGGCTTTGTCTATAATTCTGATTCTTTCCCCCTTCTCCTTCTCTAGGTGTGGCCCTTGCGCCCTGGGGCGTCGTAGGTCAAGGGAAATTCCTCTCTGAGGCTGAGGTTAAACGCCGTCAAGAGTCGGGAGAGGGTGGTAGAACGACGTTATCAGAAAACTGGGAACCAAAGGAGGATGAAATACGTATATCTCGCGCTTTGGAGAAGGTTGCGAATGAAATTGGGGCAAAGAGTCTTACTGCAGGTTCGGATTTTGATAATAATACTACGTTACCCACTCATCTTCTTATCACTCACAGTCGCCATTGCGTACGTTATGCAGAAGACGCCATATGTTTTCCCGATTATCGGAGGGCGTAAAGTGGAACATCTAGTTGCCAACCTCGAAGCCCTAGAGATTGAGCTCTCGGATGAGCACATCAAGTATCTCGAGAGTATTGTCCCGTTCAAAGCTGGTTTCCCTTCCAACTTCATTGCGAGTATTGTTCTTCAAGGTGTTTTAAAATTTATCGGGCTGACCTCTGTTCGCTTTTTCAATAGGGCGATGGAACTACAACATCCTGGATGCTTTCGAGCGCGTTGAGCTTCCAGAAAATGCCCCCAACCAAGGCTCTTCCACCAGTGAAGAATTGATTGACTTGGGGAAGCATATGAAGGAAGGTCTTTGAGCGGAAAAGGAGATCCTTCATGGGAAGTAAATTATTTGGCCTGTAATCAATAAATACATGCAGCTGCACGAAGCAGGTTTGAAAGAAAGTTAACTTTAGCTACTTCCGGACCAGATTCCTTTTGCATTCACTGAGCCTAATCATTGGCACATTATCCATTTCTCTGGAGACCTGATCCCGGCTTGCAATATTTGACACCCGGTATCGAAGAGATATGCTTCTTGCTGGTGGAAAGGAAGGAGGAAATTCGGTCGGTAGATCGTGCTTAGAAGCTGAAACGAAAGAATCAGATAGCAACGAGGTGAACGTGAGGCAGCACCCTACACGTAAAACTCGGAAAAAGAAATAGAAAAGTTTTTATTCAACTTAGTGGCTCAAGCTCGGGCTCTGCTCTACTCGATGAAGGCTCAGAGAGGTGGATGAAACTCAAGGTAAGTGTTGAGCTCGCGGATTACAAGGTAGAAAGGTCGGATAGGATTTCATTTAGTGAGACTACAGTATATACGAGAGTACGGGCGCGAAGAGTGAGAAAGAACCGTTGTCAAAAGTCAAAGGAGAACCGAATGAAGCGCTATCTATCAGTTCCTTAATTAACGTTTGGTTCCTTCCCTGATACCCTTGACATTCACAACTCGATACTATCGGCCAGCAGCTCTCACTCGACACGGATGGACCCCAACATCCATGGAGGAACACCAACGAGGTGGACAAAGTCTCGTGGCGGCGCACTTGCACGAAACCTTCGGTGTGGTAGTCTGGATGGAGGGAGATCACCAAGAAATTGGGTATAAAAGTCTGAAGCGAAGAGATGACGTAGAGAAGGGGGGAAATCGGGGAGAAGGTAGGAGGTATCTTCGGCTTTCGAGGCTGGGATGGAAAATAGATATCTAAAAGAGAAGGAGCAGACAGAGATGAGTATCAGAGTAAACTTAGGATTTTCACGAGCCTTCCGTTTGGCTCTACAACACCGGGCGATACCGATACATACCTTCCCATTGTTGTGGTACCACTTCATAGTAACTACATTTATGATCGCAATCTTCTAGACAGGTGGGTCCATCCTGTCCTTTGCCTGAAAGCATAAAGAACAAGAGGGGTAAAATTAGAGAGGACTAGATCAGACTCAAAATAGGCGGACTGGGGTCTGAGCTACTTGAAATGTCGCTGCAGGAGCCGTTTGGTTCGAAGTTTTGCCGTATGTTTCATGTTCAACGTTCAACCTTGATGACTGCGGATCAACAACATGTTCAGTTTCAATGAATTACATAATCATACAGTGTCAAATTGAATCCCTCCACTGCATAGATAGATACATGTTAATAAATAGAGGCGGTCAAATATGGCGATTCGGGGTCCGACTCGGACAGCGATTTGACCAGCGATTCTGTTCAAATCAAATACCCGAATCGTTGCATGAATCGTTGACGAACTGGGGGCCGGTCAAATATGATTACTTTAGATACATATTGATTCAACTCTGTAGCTCGTTTCATACCCCAAATTCACAAGAAACCTTGATCCCTCCCATCCTATATGCCCGAAAGACATTTCCGACGGCTTCAGGCCAAAAACCTTATTACCTCCTATTTACAGTATCACCGCATACGTGCACGTGTTTCTCAGCGACGACAACACTCGCGCAGATATCGGCTACATGTAACTGATGCACACCCATGCACCCTTTATTCTTCGACATCTATAGACTTACAAGTTGACTCTGACTCGGATGCTCCCACGTCTAGCACACTGTCGGATGACACTTCCCCTACCAACTCTAGTATACTGACATGCACGAGTTCTGATGCAAGTTTGACGGACGGTGAGGAAGAAGAAATTGGATTAGATGATGACAGTATATTCGAGATGGAGTATTTTCACAAGGCTATGGAGGATTTGGACAGTTGGATGAGGGAGTTGACTGGTTGGGTGGATGATTTGGATGGGCTTGACATACCTTCCGAGAAGGAGTCATCTAGTTCCGAGTCAGAAGACTCAGACTCTCAGGGAGGGGTGTCAATGGGTTCTGAGTTAGATGAGGAGGAGTATTTTGCTGACTGGGAAGGGGCAGGTTACTCCAGGAAGCGGAAAAGGCGACTACACAGATGGGTACAGAAGAACTTGTCATCCATGTACTCAAAGCGCTACCATGCCTCTCGAAAAAAGCAATCTAGGCCCCCCGACTCTTCCATTTGTTCTCTTTCACGAAAAACAGTCCCGACCTGATCATTTCCGTAATGAGCTTCGTGTTTCTCCATATACATTTGACCAGCTTCTTCGCCAGATCGAACATGACCCAGTCTTCTCCGACAACTCTCAAAAGGCCCAGATGCCTGTCGAATACCAGCTTGCAATCACTCTGAACCGCTTCGGTCACTATGGCAATAGTATACAGCTGGACAAAGTTGGAAGATAGGCAGGTGTATCGAAGGGAGTGTGGCATTAACAACAAGACGTGTCTTGACAGCACTGCTATAGCCACAGTTTTTGAAGGCTAATATACGAATGCCAACACCAGAGGAGAAGGAGGAGGCAAAGGAGTGGGTAGAGCGGCAGTCATGTCCAGTGTGGCATGACGGATGGTGTCTGGTTGATGGGACTTTGGTCAAGCTCTATGCACGGCCCTATTGGTTTGGTGAAAGCTATTTCGATTGGAAAGCCCTGTATTCTCTTAA